GCAGCCCAATGGTATCAATGTGGATTTCACAAGTTTTAAAATCTCCCCTCCCCCTACCGCATCCCAAAACCAGTCCAGCTCGTCCCTGCCTCCCTAACCTGTTCTTCCTCCCACCTATCCCCTCCTCCCACCTCAAGCCGCACCTCCATCTCCTACCGACCAACCTCATCCCGCCCCCTTGACCTGTCCGTCCTCCCTGGACTGACCTATCCCCTTCCTAACTCCCTACCTACACTCACCTTTACTGGCCCCATCCCCGCCTCTTCGACCTATTTGTTTCCTCTCCTCTATCCGCTTCCCACTCTCTCCCTATTTATTTCAGAACCCCCTTCTCTGATGAAGGGTCTAGGCCCGAAACGTCAGCCTCTCTGCTCCTATGATGCTGCTTGGCCTGCTGTGTTCATCCAGCCCTGCACCTTGTTGTCTCGGATTCTCCAGCATCTGCAGTTCCTACCATCTCTGATTCAATCATAGAAGTGACGATACCCACGTTCTACATTTCTTTCAGAGTTAAGATTAAAGTCTTAATAAACGTTTACATACAACATGAAACACGAGAGTGATGAAAACAGTAAAGAAGCGCCTTTTTCATCTACAACCATTCTTATTTTCTGATGGTCTACTTTACAAACAAACAGGCGTTAGCAATCCAGTTAGTGGGCACTACTCTTTAACGAGGTTGTTTACAGAAGTTAATTTTTAAACCGCCTCTCCCACTCTCTTGCTCCCCTCTTGTCCCATTGACAAAGAGAAAACTCCGCCGGCATTGTACAATCACGCTTCAACTGGCCAAGAGAACCCCAAATCGGTAGTCACCGCTTCCTTACACGCCAAAACTGGGACTGAATCATCTCCTCTAAATGTGTGCTTGCGCGTACGAGTGTGAGGGCCCGGGTCATGATTTTGTTTCGGGAGCACTAACACTAACCCGGCCCGATACTCCCGACACAGCACCAACACTACAGCGTGCGCCAAGCTCTTTAAGGTACTGGGCAACCCTCAGTAACGGTCCGTGCGCGCGCAGCCCGGGGGAGGCGGGCGGCCCTAAGGCCCTTGTGTGTGGGAGGTTCGCGCTTAACTGACCGTTACTTGCATGAACGCCCGGAGTGTCTAAGATGGCGTCTTGAGGATGTGCGTAATGGGTTTTGTGGTTTACAGTTAATCCAGCTGTTGAATCTGGACTTTCAGGATGTTTAATATCTTGTTTCAAAACCGTCTTCACTATCAGCTAGGGAGGGAGAATCCGGAGTCTTAAAGCCTCCGTAACCGAAGAGATAGTAAGAACTGCCGATGCTGGAGTCAGAGATAACACAGTGTGGAGCTGGAGGAACACAGCAGGCCAGGCAGCATCAGAAGAGCAGGAAAGTTGACGTTTCTGGTCGGGACCCTTCTTCAGAAATGGAGGAAGTTCAGATTTCCAGCTCCGCAGTTCTTTTGGGTTTTTTATTCACTATTCTTTTTCTGCTGGTACTCAGCCATTTCTGAAGAAGGGTCATGACCCGCAACATCATCTTTCCTCCTCCTCTGATGCTGCCTGCCTAGCCTGTTGTGTTCTCCAGCTCCACACTGTTATCTCTGACTCCAACATTGGCAATATCTCTGAGTGAGTTATAACCCCACTGCAAAGCCTCTTCTAGGGATGCCCTCCTTGAAAAAGTTATCCTCCTTCCTCTGGAAAGACCTCAGTGGATCTCTCTCCTACAGCAACCCTCTGGTAATCTCTTGGCCCCCATGTCTGAAGAAGGGTCCTGACCCAAAACGTCAACTTTCCTGCTCCTCTGATGCTGCCTGGCCTGTGTGTTATATCCGTAACCAAATGACTTTTTTTTGCTGGGGTGAGAAGCCATTACATATGTGACAAAGATGTGGAGGTGCTGGTGTTGGACTGGCGTAGACAAGGTGAGAAATCACACTAGGTGACCTGAAGAAGGAGTGATGCTCTCCGAAAGCTTGTGTTTTCAAAAAACCTGTTGGACTGTAATCTGGTGTAGTGTCATTTCTGAATATGTAACGAAGAGCTGAGGATGCTGGAAATCTGAAACACAAACAGAAATCTTGCAGGTCTGGCCGCATCTGTGAAGAGAAAGCACAGTTAATGTTTCAAGTGTCTGTATACTGACCCTTCAGAAGGGACAGTTATAACTTGGTAAATAGTTAAAATAAGCAGAGATCTTCTGAAGCAGCGTTGTTGGACTTGAGATGTTAACTCTGTTTTTCACGCCACAGATGCTGAGATTCTCCCGCAGTTTGCTTTGTATGAGGCAGTCATCTCCATGTCAGCTGGGTTATGCGTCTGTGCTCCTCCTGGGGTTAATCAACTATAAGACTGAATATTGCTTGGATTATTCGAACAAAATAATTTCCGACATTCTACACAACGTAGAGCACAAATAAATCAGTACTACAAAAGGCTGGGGTTGTTTTCATTAGCGCGCAGAAGGCTGAGGGGAACCTGATTGAAGGGCATTCGGTAGCTCCAAAAGAAGTTTCTCCTTAGTAGAGAGGTCTTTAACCAAAGGGTATAGTTTTAAAGTAATGAGCAAGAAGTTTAGTGGGGATTTGAGGACATGATTTTTACTTAGGGGGCTGTGATTATCTGGAACTCGCTATCTAAAAGATTAGTACAGGTGGGAATCCTCAAGACATTTAAGAACTACACCACTGCATGCAAGGCTATGGAGCCAAGTGCTCGAAAATGTGATTAGAATAGATGGATGTTGATGATTAATGTGGACACGATGGGCTGACGGGTCTTTTTGCATGCTGTTTAAAAAAAAGTCTTACTCTACTACTGGATATTTACTGCAGATAATGGTTACAGCACAGGAGGAACCCCTATAGTCGGTCATGTCTGCATTGGCCTCCTGAAGGGGCAGTTCACCTTGTGTCACTCCCATGCCTTTTCAGAAAATGACATAACTTACTTTTGAAAGCTTCAATCAAACCTGACTTCTCCACGCTCAAGGAGCATATTACACAACTAAACATTCACTAGATGAAAAAGAATTTTTGTGCTTATTTTGTTACTTAACTTAAAAATTGGGCCCTCTGGTTCTCAATCCATGCAACAATGGGAACGGTTTCTCTCTATCCACTCTGTTCAGATCCCAAATTTTCTGTCAACCCTCTTCAAGGAGAACAGTCCCAATTTTGTAATCTATATAACTGAAGTTCCTCATCCTTAGAATAATTCTTGTGAATCTTCTTTGCATCCTCTCAGATATCTTCATCTGTAGTGCCCAGAACTGGTGCAATACACCAGTTGAGGCAGAACCAGATTTACAGATTATACAGGTTTAATCTAATATCTTGCTTTTGTACTTCTGCCCCTGTTAAATATAGCCCAGGATGTTGCGTGCGTGACTAACCACACTCGCAACTGTTCTGCCATGTTCAATGATTTATGTATAGACACACAGATCCTTACATCATAAGACGTAGGTGCAGAAATAGGCCATTTGGCACATCAAGTCTGTTCCGCCATTCAGTATGATTATGACTGATCTCATAATCCTCAACTCTGCTTTCCTGCTTTATTCCTTTAGCCTTTAATTCATTTACCGACTAAAAATCTATCTCAGCCTTGAATCTATTTAATGACCTAGCCTCGACAGCCCTGTGCAGGAAAGAATTCCGCAGACTAACTATACAGAAAATAATCCTCTTCATCTTTGCCTTCAATGGGCGATCCCTTACTCAGATTATACCCTCCAGTCCCAGACCTTCCCACAAAGGGAAACAACGCTTCACAAATACCCTGTCAAGCCCTCTAAGAATATTATGTGTTTCGTTCTTCTGAACTCCATTGAATACAGACCCAACCTACTCAATCTTTCATAAGAAAATTTCTGTGCAACTGGAATCAATCTAGTGAACCTCCTCTGGACTGCTTCCAATGCCAATATATCTTTCCTTAGATAAGGGGAGAAAAATTGTTCACAGTATTCCTGGTGTAGTCTTGACTAGTGCTTTTTATCCCTTTAGCAAGGGGTTCCTAATTTTTATACTAGATTCCCACAATGAATTCTTCTTTGTAGCTACCTTTGTCAATTTGAATTTTGCAATCTACATAAAAATTAAAGTCACCCATGAATAATGTGGTACCTTCTTTATGCGCCCTCATTATCTCCTCATTTACCCTCTGTCCTACAGAACTATTACCATTTTCTTTTCCCTCCTTTGACCCTATTTGCTACTTTATGCTTGTACACTCTGTACCTTCTTGTCCTACTCTGGGTGTCTTTATCAAAATAGTTGCCCTGCAATATGGTGCCCTGCACCATATCCTTCTGCTTTGCAAGCCTACATATGCCTCCTGGTGAACCCTCTAATTAATTTAAAGCCCTCTGTGCAGCTCTAGTTATTTGATTCACCAAAAATGGTCCGAGCATAGTTCAAGTGAAGTCTATCCCACCGGAACAGTTCCTTTCTTTCCCAGTATTGGTGCCAGTGTCCTGAAAACTGAAAGCTGTTCCTACCAGACTAATCTTTAAACCATGCATTTGACTCCTTGACTTTAGCCATAGGCAAACTAGCACAGAGTAAGTAATGTGGTAATCCTGAGATTACCACCTCTTTTGGAAGCAGTAAATTCTGCTTTTTAGCTTAGCCCCTAAATGTTTAGATTCTTTCAACAGAACCTCCTTGCTAGTGCCATCAATGTCATTAGTACCAAAATAGACAACAACTACTGGATCCCTCCCCACTCCAAATCCCACTCCAAATTCCTCTCCAGCCCTTGTATGATACAAAGGTGGACATGTGAACCAAATCAGCCTTTCTACCTTTTTCATTGTACATGGAGTACAATGTTGACAAGTGTGAGGTCATCCATTTTGGTAGGAATAACAGCAAACTGGACTATGTTTTAAATGGTAAAAAATTGCAGCACTCTGCTGTGCAAAGGGACTTGGGTGTCCTTGTGCATGAATCGCTAAAAGTAGGATTGCAGGTGCAGCAGGTAATTAAAAAGGCAAATGGAATTTTGTCTGTCATTGCTAGAGGGATGGAGTTTAAAAACAGGGAGGCTATGCTGCAGCTGTATAGGGTCCTGGTGAGGCCACACCTGGAGTACTGTGTGCAGTTTTGGTCTCCTAACTTGAGAAGGGATATACTAGCACTGGGGGTGCAGAGGAGTTTCACTCGGTTGATTCCAGAGTTGAGAGGGTTGGATTATGAGGAGAGACTGAGTAGGCTGGGATTATACTCATTGGAATTCAGAAGAATGAGGGGAGATCTTATAGAAACATATAAGATTATGAAGGGAATAGATAAGGTGGAGGCAGGGAGGTTGTTTCCTCTAGCAGGTGAAACTAGGACTAGGGGGCATAGCCTCAAAATAAAGGGAAGCAGATGTAGGACTGAGGTCAGGAGGAACTTCTTCACCCAAAGGGTTGTGAATCTGTGGCACTCCCTGCCCAGTGAAGTGGTTGAAGCTACCTCGCTGAATGTGTTTAAGGCAAGGCTAGATAAATTTTTGAACAGTAAAGGAATTAAGGGTTATGGTGTGCGGGCAGGTAAGTGGAGCTGAGTCTCAAAAAGATCAACCACGATGAATGGCGGGGCAGGCTCGAGGGGCCGGATGGCCTACTCCTGCTCCTAGTTCTTAAGTTCTTATGTTTTTGCAATGCAGTAAAATTAAAATCTTCAAAGACCCTCAAAATTTATCCCAAGGGTTCCTAACCAGACATTTTTTTTGAAGAACCAATCCCAGATTTGACAGATAATCAATTCTTAATGCCAAATGACTTTGTAAATTTATTAACACTATAGTAACTTTAGCAGAGCAAACTAAAACAACAAAGTAGAGAAGTTCTCTGCTTCCTCATCACTACTTGTTTTTAAGGCAACAGCATGCCTGAACTACTTCTTCAGTATGAATTGACTGTTAATTTATTTGATTCAGGATCTGCTTTCTGTGCTGTAATTAGAAGAATCATACCAAAATTCCACCTGGATTATTTTCATCCCTCAGGAAGGTTTCAGCTATCATTTGTTTGTGGTGTCACATCAACCTTATTTATGAACTTTGTTTAATCATCGTTCTGGTTACATGTAGGAAAAAAAACCAGGACCTTTCCGTGTAATTGTTCTGTTTCTTGAATTTCCTTTGGGTATTCTGTGATGCTATTACTTCTTGGTAACAACTTGGCAGGACTAAAAGCAAGTCTACTCCCTCAATTTGTAATGATTTGACTACTCAGACAATTACTTCTCCTGATAACAAAACACATTCCAAATGTATTTTCATATAATGGAACCAGAATATATTCACCACCAATCCCATTTGTTAATATCTTAGCTCCCAACAAACTCTCTGGAGGGAAAACCAGT